AGAAAGCATTTTCTAGGAGGGGTGACGGAGTAAAGGAGAGGTGACAGAGCAGGACTTCCCTCCAACCCAGAATAGTTGGGATTTGATCTGACTTAATGTATTGCTTCCATTAAGAGCAGATTCCTTTCGGAAAAGGGACTTCTGCTGGTTGGAAGAGAGGAAAGAGATGAGTTGAGCTGGGGGGGCCGAATGTGTCACAACCTTTAGCTCAGTGTCAGCTCTAAGGCCTGGCCTTGAAAATGGGCGATGTCCCCACCCTGCTGTTGGCCCACTCCTTAAAGGCAGGGTCCACACCTTACTTCCCTTTGCAACCTCAACTTCCGACACAAATCCTGTCACGTGGTAGGCGACTGATCAGTGTGTGCCTACGTGATCCCAGTTAACGTGGGCTCAATTCAGTCTCCAGCTCAGGATGTGTTTTGCTTGGTCCTTTCAGCCTAAGCCCTCCCTTTTCACTCCTTTATTCATTGCTATTCAACCTCTCAAAGTCCGTGTTGACCAGTCCCAACAAAGGATGGAGTCAGGGCAAAAGGGTTTTCTCAGGGACACAAAGGAGGCCTTCAGGAAGCGCTGCCCATGCAGAGGGATCCGAGCTGCTGCCTGGGGATGTTCTCTAGAGGCAATTGCTGGTTCCAAGGTGTGACTTCTCCTTTACACCCAAGAAGAACTGGGGACATGCCGTGTGTCTACTCATGCTGGAACAATGAGGGACAAGCGTGTGCCTGACAGCATGGCTCTGGGAGGCCACCCCCTCCACAGATGCCTGGAATGGCCTCAGGATGTAGACTTGTAGATCTGTTACGGGAAAGCCTTGTGTCATCCATCCTCCTTTCATTTTGCAAATCTATATTCAGTTTCTACTACATGCCAGAGACTGTGCCAGGTGCTAGGGCATATAGCAGCAAAGAAGCATTCAGGAACCCCTGCCCTCCTGGAGTTCATATTCGTCAGAGTCCACAGCAGCGGTGGCAGCCCTGGTGGCACGTTAAAATCCGCTGGAAAGCTTTGACAGCTGTGGGCGCAGCAGACTTCCCTCCCAAGACGTCTGATTTCACTGGATTGCATCCTGATGTCAGTGTGGGGAGGGCTTGGGGCCAGAGGAGAGGGGCTCTGAGGGTCTTTGCAGAAGCTTCCAGTCTTTCCAGTGGTGCAACTGACCCATCTCTCTCCTGGGTAACTTCTTAAAGTTGGACCTTTCCCCTCGTTCCAGGCCGAGGGAGGAAAAGGGAAAGTGTGCTACTTAAAAGGGAAAGTGTGCTTTCTGTTTCCTCTAGAATTTCACTGCGGCTTAATATTTTACTTTGTTTTAACTTTGCTTTTTTTTTTTTTAAACTTCATTTCCTACATCAGGAGCTTTTTCTTTAAAAAGTCAGACCTTGCCAACTGAGGTCAAGCAATGTGGATTTCAAAGATGCTCGGCCTTTGCCTTCAGCCAGCCTGGGCCACACATCGACTGGCCTTGACTTTTCCCCTTCTGGTGCTCACTTCCTTCTCTTTGCTCCCTGATCGGTGCCTCTCCGTTCTCTCTGTGGCTCTGGGAGAGCAACAACCTTGAATGGAAATGAAGCGCCCTTCACCCTTGGAGCCCATGCAGCACCTCTTTCAATCCCCCTCCTCATTTCCCGCCCCCAGATCTACCCTTTCTCCATTCCTTAAGCTTCCTCTAGGCACATCTGCTCTGGGGTGCAAAGCCCTGAAGGAGAGAGAAGGCAGCCTGTCGTTAAGCTTTGGGGATGGACGTGGGACTTCATGAAACTCTCCCCACATTCACCCGTGTTTGGCAGACAACCAGATCTGCAAACTGTTTTATCAATGAGCGTTAATGACAGGGTAAATATATGTTGGATATGTTTGTTTGTTTAATATCAAAAGAGGTTGATTTTCAACCTCAGAGGGTCTGGGCAAGTAGGGACTCCCCTTAATCAGAGGGCTCAGGCAGGCGTACAAATGCCCTCCAAATAATAATAATAATAATAATAAAAATAACAACATAATAGTACTAATGCTTATGCTACATTTGGAGCTTGAAATGATCAGTGACATTTCCCCTGATGAGGTTAAACAGCCTGGCTCTCGGGGCCGTGCATTTGCATAATAAAGATCAGAAGCCACAGCCGCCTACATCTCTCCCAGCACTGGTGCCTGTGTCCTTGATTCAGGGACACCACTTCCTAATGCACTTCCATGTGCGGTCCTGTGCAGCGATTCTAATCTTTGGCTTGCATGTGAAATGTCAGCTTTCTCCTTTTTTATTTTTTTCCTTTTTTTTTTTTTTGTCTGGGAGAACAACAAATTATGTTTCTAAATGAGAAGGTGCCGTCTGTAATGGATAATATAATCTGTAAGTGCAGAGGCAGCATCTGTGACCTGCGGTGCTAACCTAGCAAGCTCCAGTCCATTTTCCCGCCTATCAGTTGATAGGAAAACATCGCTTTCGATATAATAATTAATCATTAGTCAAAATGGATATCCCCATTGGTTCCTTGCCTCTCAGACAGCCCTGCCTAGCTGGACTATAAATCAGGGAAATACATTCTTTAATATCCAGTGGAATATATTTCCAGGCAGCCTCTTCCCTCTGTAAAGTAACAAAACACTTTGCAGAAACCGTCTGTCAACAGCTGAGGGGGGAGGATGCTCCCAAGGTGCCATTTGAAGGAGGGAAAATGTAGAGCTCAGAGAAAGTGTGGCAGTGAGTTCCAGACGGTGGCTGTAAACCAAGGAGGAGCATCTCCTTGCAGTGGTGGGCTCCCGGCTGGGACAGCGACCAACCGTCAGCACCTTCTCCACTCGGGCCCACGGGCCCCTCCCCTTGGTTCTCTCGCCTCCCATCAGCCCATTGCTGGGCCCCATCAGCTCCTCGGGTCATGCCCTGGCCCGGCGCACCACAAGTGCCAGTCCCTAGGGTCCCATCGTCCTCCTGGTTCTAATGGCAGCTGGAATCATTCCAGGCCACTCTTCTTCTTGGTTCCAGGCTCTCTCTGGCTCTGTTGAAATGTTTACAGCACCCAACATGCTCCAAGAAAACAAATGAGCTGCCAAGCATGGTGGCAGGAAAAGTAGATTTGGAAGTTGGGATGGGATGAAGGAATCTGAGGACTCTCCTGAACTAACTTGTTGTTTGACTATGACTTTTCAGTGCCCTTGTTCTCCTCATCTGAAAAAGAAGCAGTTAACGACTGTCAGTCCGTGCGTGTCGGAGCCCTCAGTTTCCCAGGCAGTGCCTCCGTGTGGGGTGAAAGGAAGACGGGGCAGGAAAGAGCAGGGAAGCTGTCCCTAACTTCAACTAGAGCCTTCAGCTTTTATGGTTTTATGAACTCAGTCTTTGCAAATTCAAAAACCACTGAGTCCAGTGATCTTTAAACCACTCCGATGTTTAAATCCTACAGTTCTCTGTGTCAATATTGCCCACTCCATCTCTAAGTGTGGAAATCATAGGAAATGCTGCTTCTGCTTGAGGCCTGTAATTGCATCTCTTAGTTACTAGACTCCTGTTCCCCCAACAGGGGTGGTTTTTGTCCTGAGGGGACATTAGGCAACATCTGGAGACATTTTTTTGGTTGTTATAACTTGGGAGGAGGAAGCTATTGGCCCCTGGTGGGTAGAGACCTGGGATGGCTAAACACCCTACAATGCACAGGACAGCCAGCCTCTCCCCACTCCCCCACTCCCACTAAACCAGATCCAGTTCCAAATGAGGTTGAGAAACTATGTAACCTGAAGAAAATATGCTCACAGGTGAGCTTCTGCATTGGGAAGACTCCATTCAGCTTTCCCTCTGTCCCAGCTCAGACTGAGGGGTTAAGTCTGAGAAATAGACTTAACCTGCCCAGAACTCCCTGGAGCCTTAGATCTGAGACACAAGAATATTTCTCGCCCTGGGGACAGTTGCCCACAGAACTCTTTAGTTCACCTCTAGGAGGGAAACTTCCATGGCCTGATTCCCAAGCACGTTGGAGCTGCCCAATGTGCCACATACTCAACTTCCATCTGTAGCAAGAGCTGATGATACTGGACTTTCCATTCACTCCTTTACTGACTACCCACTATGTACTAGGAACTATGTATTAGGGCCACTCACAGGGAATAAGAGGTTGCAGTGGTTGGGAGAAGACTCTCTGATGAGACAACACTGGAAGAAAGTTCTGAAGGTTTGTGCGTGTCCAGGGGAACAGGATTCCAGACAACCAGAACAGCGAGGGCAGGTGAGCTTAGCAGAGCTGCGCGTGTTCTTGGCAGCACAGTGGCCATGCAGGAGCCGGGAAAAGGGTGATGTTGGAGGCGCAGGTCTTGCAGGACCTAATCAGCCCAATTGGACATTCATATCTTACTCTGAGATAGATGGAAAGCCATTAGAGAATTCAGAGACAATGCGCCATAAGCTGACTTAGGTTTTAAAAGTGAAAAACACCAAAAGACATTTGACAGGCTACAGTCATCCTGGCTCCTCCAAGGATCATTGTCAATGAAGCAGGGGTCTCAAAATGCTCACATTTTCTTTTTGTATTTAAAGAATGGAATAAACAAAGGAAATGTTTGACTTCCTTTCATGATAAAGGCCCTCCTGATGTTCTAAGCCAGAGATTACTGTGGCTGGTTTTACAACACCCCAGGGCTGAATAGAGCAGGGTACTCAGAATACCTTAAGAAGTATGGAGGCCAGGCGGGCGTGGTGGCTCAGGCCTGTAATCCTAGCACTCTGGGAGGCCTAGGCAGGAGGATGGCTCAAGGTCAGGAGTTCAGAACCAGCCTGAGCAAGAGCGAGACCCCATCTCTACTAAAAATAGAAAGAAATTAATTGGCTAACTAAAACTGCATAGAAAAAATTAGCCAGGCATGGTGACACATGCCCGTAGTCCCAGCTACTTGGGAGGCTGAGGCAGAAGGATTGCTTGAGCCCAGGAGTTTGAGGTTGCTGTAAGCTAGGCTGACGCCATGGCACTCTAGCCCGAGCAAGAGAGAGAGACTCTGTCTCAAAACAAAAATAAAAAAAGAAGTATGGAGAAATTCTCGAATTTAATAAAACAAATTAATGCAAATTCATTTCACTTGAAATGAATTTCATTTCACTTGCCATGTGCTACTTTTAGAAGAGGGGTAGGTCGGAGTGAAATGAAATCAAAACAGAGTCTGCCTTCCAGAAAGGCTTACAATCACTGATTAATACTGGAAGTCCAGACAGGGAGAGGGTGTGGCCATCATCTGTAATTTATTCATAAATTGCCAGCTCTTCCCAGATAACTTTTGAAATAAAACGTGACACATGTTTAAATATTTACTGGCCTGCTGACCTATTTTTTTTTTTTTCGGTTAATTAGAATTTTTTTTTAAAGAAAACAAACATTGTGACATCAAACTAATGCAGACAGCCTCCACAGTGAGATAGCTCAGGCAGGCTACAGTCAAGTATTATTGAGATTTACCAAAATTGTATCCAAGGGAGAAAATTAATTGGAAATATCAGAAATAGCCTCTGAATGTAAAAAGACTGAGGCTACCCCCCTAACTTTCCCCACCTGTGTTTATTAAATTATCACAATAGATGTAAAAACATTTGTACAAACTATAAAGAGTTTTCAGCCATTGTCATTCTGTTATTTCCCCTTAAATGTGTGTTTAGCCCCAAACCTCCTTTCCTCCAAGAAGAGGTTGACTGAGCAATTCTGTAGCTGTTCCTACAAAACAAAAAAGCTATTTTAAGATGTTGCATTTGAGTCCTTTCCCTCTTTTAACTTTTAATGGCTTTGTGCTTTAGTAAGAGGCCTCAGGTTAACATGTCCTACTCACTCCCCTCTGGAGCTTCTGTGGAGCCAGGCTTAGAGGACCTTCAAGATCGGAGTAACAGAGGGGGTTTATGTCGCTTGACTACAGGCCTATGGACTCCAGCTGCCCCTGCCAAAAAAGAGTTTAGTCAGAATGTTGCAGCAAAAAATATCTGATACATGGCAGGAATTGTAGCCAATGGCTGCCATGACAACTACTGTGGCGTTCCAGTTGCTGGGCTAGAGAAGTAAGGGGGCCCCCACGGAGGGGCTGCAGGAGGAGAAATTGTCATGGAAAGGGAATGACATTTTTTGGTGGTCACAGAATTTCTCTCAATGGGCTAGATTTAAAGACAGTGTTGCAGCTGCAAGGTAAAACTCGTAACAATGGCATGTCAGTTAATTATGGATAGCTGCGTATTGCACATGCACTTAATCTTTGCAGTAACCAAAAGAGGTCAATAATTTTGTGATCCACTTTTCCCTGATGAGGAAGCTGAGGCTCAGAGGTCTGGCTAACCCTTCTGCATCGCTTCACTATTTTGCCTGAGCTGGCAGCCGAGCTGGAGAAAAGGAAGCCCTAACTCTGAATCCGGAGATTTCCCTCACCCGCTTTGATGCTTGCTCTGCAGGGCAGGTAACCCAGGGCATATCCTCGGGATGAATGGCCTCTCCCCCTACTCTCACATAAGCCCCCATGGCAGGTCAGCAGTCTAACCAGAAGGGGTAGGGAATTATAGATAGCTTCAAATGCTTTACCATTTCTCCCATCAAAAAGTGAAATCTATTGCACTGTCCTTGGAATAATGAGGGTAGGTCCAATGACTTGCTGTGACTACTAGAGAGTGGTACCAGTAAAACCATGGAACTTCCAAGATTAGGCCTTGAAAGATCTACAGCCTCTGGTTTTGTATGCTTGGAACACTCCCTCTTGGAACCCAGCCACCATGGTAGAAGATGCCACAAAGAGGAGAACACAATTGCTTCCCACATTCTTCAACAGCCCCATTGGAGCTCCCAGATGATAGCCAGTACTAACCACCAGCCATGTGAGTTAGTCATCATGGCTGTTCCAGCCCTTTCTACAACATGTGGAGCAGAAGAATTGCCCAGCTGAGCCCAGGCAACCCCAGAATCATGACAGATAATGGTGGTAGAAGTGGTTGTTCTAAGCTCTAAATTTGGGGGCAGGGGGGGTAATTTGTTTCACATTAACAGATCACCAAAACAGTCTTTTTACCCAGGAAAATTCCCTCTTGGACAAAAAAGATCTTGATGGTGTTATACACATGATGCACCTGACTCTGATGTAATGTGGCCAGATGAGAACCCACCACTACCAGGATCCCTCATTTGCTTCTTGGGCAGGACATCTTTTAAGAGGGTTGGGTATGCAGGAAGGATCTCTGTGGCCCCACTGGAGTACAGTATATTTGTTTCTTTCCACAGAATTTCTGGAACGCTCTCACTTGTGAACACACAAATTACCTAGGTCTCCGTGTGTCTCATGATTGAAGCCAGGGAACAGAGCCACCCATCCCAGAATTCAGGAGGAAAGAGTCTTGGAAGTGATGCCCAGTGAGCTAAAGGAAGCTGGGGAAAGAACAGAACCTGTCTCTTTCCTACACGCCCAATTAAAAAGATGTTTTTGCTGCTGAATTGAGGTGTCATGAATGCCTTGCTCTCCTTGCAAAGTTACTGAACTTATTCCTCATTAAATTGTTGTGAGGGTTAAAAGTGAGAATATATGCAAAGTTCTTAGCACAGTACCTGCATGACTTGGGTGCTTCCCTACTTTGTAATGGTGTTTATTTCCACATTAAAATAGATCATGACTCTGTAGATTTACCTCTGAAAAGGCAGCTCATGCCAATGTGTTATATTAGGTGAGCGTATTGAACAGTTGTATTCAAACCTATTGTTTTGACCCCATAAGGTGTCTATGGAACCATTGCTAAATCAAAGCAATCTTCATAGGGTTATGAGAACAGATAGATGGTCTTTCATCCATGAAACTCTTTTTCTGGCATCCCCTGAAAAGACAAGTAAAAGACTATTCTTCAAACTGTGCTGGGAAAATAATTTTCTTCAGCCTGACCTTTGGTAAAAGGCAGTGTGTCCACTAGCTGTTGGGAGACACGAGTCTTCCCAGCAAGTGTAAATGGACAGGAGGCCTCAGATCCGTTCACACCTGATGAAGAGGCTTGCTCACCCCACGCTGCTATTTATGGCCTTGTGCCACATATTTACGTTTTCTCAAAGATGTGTTCAATCGAGCTCTCTAAAACTTTCCCTACTTTGGATCAATTTCCATGGTGGATTTGCCAAGGCTGCTAAGTTCCCAAGAAGATTGCATATCCTTGCATTCACGTAGTCAACTCAGTCAGAACTCTAGCTAGTTTCGAAGAGAAAACTTCTTTTGAGGTGGTTTAGGGAGGCAAAGGGAAGGCTGTAGTTCTTTTTCTTTTAAGAGGCACAAACTCAACATTCCTATTTTTTCTTTCTTTTTCAAAGAGTTAGTGAAGATGAGGCTGAGACACTGAGGAGGGGCAGAATTTCTATTTCTGCAGGTTCCTTAAGGCAACAGAGGAAGCTTGGCGGCCACAGGAGTCTAGTTAATGAGCGGGTTATACAATATTCATTGTGCTGAGTTTAACTCTTCAAACAGAACGTCTAATTGCAAAAAGAAAAAAAAAAGAAGCTAAATTACAGATGTTAAGACAACAAAGCCGGGGTAGAACTCCCTCTGTTGATAAAACCATCCTTTCGCAGCTTCCTCCACTAACTGCACGCTGACAGAAGGCACAGCGGATCCCTGTCCTCATCAGGTATTCTCATTAGCTCTGTTCCGACTGAGACACTCTATAGGGCTCAAGGAGGGCCACCAAGAGGCCTGGTCTGACCGACTTCTCAGAGGACTGTTTTCTTGCTACCCGCAGAAGAAGCGATCCAGTTGTATTCAGCTGGCACCAAAACAAAACTGTTCTCCCCAATCTTCCTGACACACACAGTCTCACCACTGTCGCTCCTGGCAACAGCGTCTGCAGCAGGCTCCCGGAAGGACACTTCAGTCCGCAGGTGGCAATACCGGGAGTGCAGGTAGCGCAGGCCAGCAGCCAGGGCCATGCCCAGCACGGCTGACAGGCCAAGCAGGACTCCCAGCTGGGCAGTCTTGAGCTGCATCCCTGAAGGGGCTCTGATTCCCTCCTGCCCAACTTCAGGCCTGGAGTTGGTCTTCCTAGGGAATCCCAGTCCACCCTCTCCCTTCTCCTCCCCTACTCTAGGCTCCCAGTGCTTTGATTGAGGTAAGAAGCTGGCAGAGGGCCTCCATGCCTCTGACTGGTCACCAGCAGCAGGTGGCTTGGAAGTGCCAGATATCTGGGAGACAGGGGTCGGGTTGGCTGCCCCTGCCCCATTCCCTGTGAAAGCTTCAGAGGCCCAGAGGTGTGGGGGAGAGGTAAGCTGGACAGTATACAAAGGATGCCTTGTCTCAGTCCTGTTAGAGGCCTCCACCTTGTCCTATAAAAACAAAGGGAATAAAAGGTCAGAGGGACTGGTCTTCCCCCTAAGCAGCCACCGAACTGTGCAACTAACTTGTGCTCCTTAAAGACTCCCAGGCAGCAGCTGAAAACCCAGCCTCTTGCCTGCTCCCAAACGAACTCAGAGTAACATGCCCAAGTAGATAAATACGCATTTGTTATTGATGGGGAAGGGGTGGCTAATGGAAACCCCACAGAGAGCATGGAGGCCAGTTACGAGAATAAGTTTTAAGAGGCTTCCAAACTGATATAGGTGCTTGTGTCATCTGTGATGGCTGAAAGCTTTGAGTGTGTCTTTTTATGGTGGGACCCATGCAAGAGGGATCGTTTAACCTTTCTGTAGGTTCCAATAAATTTAAGTAAGAATATTATACCATGTTTTATTTTGTGTTCCTTCTAAGACTTCAAAGGAATAGTAAATCAGTGGGCATGTATATTTTATATTGCCAATTGATCTAACTTCTGGGACCATGCATGATGTTTTGAGGCCAATGTTTTAAAGGAGGGGTGGAGGGGGAGAGGAGAGGAATTATTAACCAAGGCTAAGTGGGAAAACAAATCACTAGAACCATCAATTTCTACAGTTGCCTATAACTTCGCAGATACTACATATAATGGAAAGGCTGATATTGATTAGTAGAAAGATGCTGTGTGTATATCATATCTTTGCCCTCTTCTCTCTGACTTTGGCTACTAGTCTAATAGCTCCAATTTCCCATTGTAGAACTTCCCACTCTAGGCTCAAAATACCAATCTCAACCCCATTCACAACTCAGGCTCTTACCTGTTCATTCCTCTCTGAGGACAGGCAAGTTTCCAGTGAGTCAGAGCGTGGGTCATTATGAGTTCTAAAGGGAAGAATGGAAGGGCTGAGAAGGGGTCACTAAGTATTTGGACCAAAAAGCAATGTTTCCCACCACTATTATGGATTCTGATGGCAGAATCCATAATTCTGATTTTCAGATTCCCTTGGAAAAACTCCTGAGTTTGTAGTTGGGGGCAGAAGGGAAGAGTCGGAGGGACAGGCAAGTGAGGATGGTGGCAAAGAACCCACCAAAATATATTACTATTTTATAGAAAAATATTATTATTTATTATAAACATATCTAAAATATTAAAAATTCTTTAAAATTTATATAGCAGCATCTAAAATTTTTATAGCAGCATCTCAGAGACCTCACTCCCTTCAAGAGAGTACAGTTTCCTAGGGTGATTATCATACCCAGCCCTTCTAACCACTAGCCTTTCTACAATCAGGGTTTCTCACATACTTAAGAATGAATGTGGCTGAGATCTTTCTCTGTCTGACTCCAAATCAAGTGTCCCAGTGTTCAGCCTCGTCCCACCACCTGCACTGAATGGGCCACCCTCACACTTACCTGTGGTGGGTGCCAGGGCTAGAAACAAAGCTCTCTGAGGAGAATCCCCTGAGGGCCACAAGCCTCTCCAGCCCACGGACATCCAGGGACGGTTCTAGGGTTGGGTCACTGCCCCCACGGGCTTGCTGGCCATTGCTGTCTGCGGTAGCTGTGTGTGAAGATGGTTGGAACAGAGTCTCTGCATCCCCAGGAAACTTTGTCATCCAAATACCGGCAGGAACAAGATCTGGGTAGTCCTCCTTTGCAGCTTCAGGAAGGCCAACAGCAAAGGCGTCTGTGCGCTGCTGCAGAAGAGCCATGGGGACCCTGGGAGCTAAGCAGAGGCCAGAAGGGACCACAGAGAGAGTGAGAGCATTTTACCTGGAGGAACTGGTGCAAATAACTATAGAAGAACAGGGTAAACAATAGAGACTTGAATGTGCCACAAGGACAGACCATTGGTGTGTGCTACTCAAAAGTGTCAACAGAAAGATGGCCCACCCAGTCCCTGAAGCCCCTGACCAAGCAGCAAAACACCTGGTTTCTTACATCTCTTTACAGAGTAAGGCCCTGGCCTTTCTGGGCTTGTTCTTCCTCAAGCCCAGAACAGCCACCATTCAGGGAATAGAGAAACCACTGTGACCACCATATTTTTTTTTACCTCTGCCACAAACCGCTTCTAGCTAGAAAAAAAAAAAGGTGGACTCCCATAACTCAGATCTTTAAAAGCCCTAGATCTTTCTTGCCACGTTATCAACACTAAAAGTTTCTTTCCCTGGTAACCATGATGGCTTGAGTGTCTGCCCTCCCCTGCCTCCACCATCTGATTTCCCACTTGTGACTGACTCTTGTGACAGCCCAGAACATTAGAAGTAGCTGCACCCAGGGCAGCAAGAAAGCAGATGCAGGTTTTAGAGTCACATTATTGTCTGGGTTCAGTTCTTTCCACTCTGCTAATTCCTGGCTTTGGGCAATTCCTCCCAAGGCATTCATTTCTTAATTTGCAAAAGGGGCCACTGATGGTACCCATAGCATAGAATTGGTAAGGGGGTGAAATGGAATCAGGGATGTAGAAGCATGAAGCACACACAGTGCCTGGCACACATGACACATGCATGGAGGGTTTCCACAATGATGATTAGGATGACGATAATGGCATTGATGTAAACAGTGTTGGCAGAAGTTTCTCTGACCAGGGCTCCAACTGAGTTGCATTGAAGCCTCCTTTTTTTGGATTGGGAGAGGGAGAGTGCTACTTTGCTACAGTGTTTCTTTTTTTTTTTGAGACAGAGTCTCACTTTGTTGCCCAGGCTAGAGTGAGTGCCGTGGCGTCAGCCTAGCTCACAGCAACCTCAAACTCCTGGCTCAAGCAATCCTCCTGCCTCAGCCTCCCAAATAGCTGGGACTACGGGCATGTGCCACCATGCCCAGCTAATTTTTTCTATATATATATTAGTTGGCCAATTAATTTCTTTCTATTTATAGTAGAGACGGGGTCTCGCTCTTGCTCAGGCTGGTTTTGAACTCCTGACCTCAAGCAATCCGCCCACCTTGGCCTCCCAGAGTGCTAGGATTACAGGCGTGAACCACCGTGCCTGGCCGCTACGGTGTTTCTAACACTCAAAAACATTGAGATGAAGAGCAAAGCAGTCTAACCCAGACATATAGAACATGACAAGCTAATAATTTTAAATTCCTGCTTGAATTCTAAGTGCATTTGGATATTTTCTGCAGACCACTGTGTGCTGGGCATCGCTATGGTTGCTGGAGACACAGAAGTGATGCAGATTTGTAATTGTTGTCCCTGAACTCAGAATCTAGGAGGAGAGACCCTTACATGCACAACCATATAAATTACAATGTGATGAGTGCTTGGATACCAGAGCTAAGGAAGCAATTACACTTGCTGCTGTGGTCTGAATGTGTCCTCCCCAGATTCATATGTTGAAATCTAATCCCCAATGCAACAGTACTAAGAAGTGAGGCCATCAGCGGGTGATTAAGTCATGAGAGGGCAGAGCCCCCCAAATGGGATTAGTGCCCTTGTAAAGGAGGCCTGAGGGAGTTTGTTTGCCCCTTCTGCCATGTGAGTACACAGAAGGCGCCACCTATGAGGAATGGTCCCTCAGCAGACACCAGATCTACTGATGCTTGATCTTGGACTTCCCGGCCTCCAGAACTGTAAGAAATAAATGTCTGTTATTTATAAATTACCCAGTCTAAAGTAGTTTGTTGTGGCAGCTGGAGTAGACTAAGACACTTGCCTGGCAAGAAGTATGAGGAAAAGTTTTACGAAGGAGATATTCAAACTGAGCCATGAAGGAACATCCTGATGAACGGTCTGGCTTGAGCAGGGGCAGGCATCGGAGAGGCTGAAGGCTCAAATGATGCTTCTTCCTGAAGCCTCAGTTTTATTTGCATTTACATTAAAACTAACATGGTTATGCTTGGGGCTAGAATGCAACGTTGGAATGATTTATAAACTAAAACAAGAGACCTCAAACAAATGCTAGGCAAGTATGGTCTTCTCTAAGACCTCAAGCTCTTTGCTCTGCTTTGAGGAGTGTCTTTGAGGTGGAAAGGTTGGAGGAGTTGTTCTGGGCAACAAAAGAAGACAGGTTTGGGGGCAAAGCCAGAGATTGGAGGGTGGTCCCGGGCCGTCTCTGTGCCTGGCTCTGCTAGACTGAGCAGAAGCAGGGATTCCCATTGAATTCTGGCCTTATCATACTAGCAAAGAATAAAGGAAAATGGGACTGAATAGATTAAGGCTAGGATCTTCTGTACAAGTAATCAGATGCCTTTATAAGTGCATATGTTCAGAGCACTTAACTACAAATAAATAATAAAAACGAGTTCCATATCACCAGGAATTTTCAGGTACATCAAACATTCTCTAGCTTGTTAGGTTTTTGTTTTGTTTCCTTTGTTCAGAAGCTCACGGGCCAATGGAGTATAAAGTCACGTGGTGAGCAAAGGAAAAAGTCCATTCCCACTGAAACGGTCCTATTCCTGCTTGGATTCTCAAAACCAGCTGCAAAGAGCCACCCACCTACCGTGAAAAGTAACAATAAAAACAGGATGAGTTTTTATAAAAAGAAAGCTCATTTCTTTTTTGTGCTCCCTGTGCAGCTTCAGGGGACTAAGGAAAACAGCTGAAACACTGTGATGATCAGTAAATATGGGGGTAGAAAGCGTGTGCTGTTTTTGGTATTGCAACGCAGCTCTCACTGTCCACCCCAGGGCTCGACTTAATTTGTTAGGTTGGGGCGGGAGAAGTGTGTTTGCTGCAGCCAAAGAAGCAACTGCAAGGGTTCCCTCCCTCTCACTGATGTGTCATCACGTCCCCAAGAACTGCTGCAGTTGGCCAAGGCAGGTGTTTATTGCTTGTTTTGCAGGGATGGGAAACGGGCAGTAGTCACTTTTAAGGGGAAATAGATAACCGCAAAAATAATGATGACCACCAGGCAGGTGAATAAAGTGGCAAGCTGTACCTGGAGCAGTTCCTCCGATATTGTCCAGCCTCTGCCGAGGGGGTGGCAACAGCGACCCGGGCTCCACGCCGTCCTCAGAATGGGCTCTGCTATGTGTCTGCTGAGACACAACAGATGATTCAATCCTCGCCCAGTAAACGAAATATGACTGGACTACTGATAAACTGTGGAATAAGAAAGAGCAGAGTGATTCACGGATTTAGTTTCCTTTAAATAATGCCTCAGGCCAACCTAACAGAAAGGAGAGAACACGCTAAAAGATAAAGAAGAACAAAAGTCTAAATAAATAGAAGAACTAGAGAGCGATTATTTTATTACTCTTTGAGTGGCTTCATTCTTTTAAAAAACAAAAATCTCAGTAGCCACAAATAATTAGAATAGGAGAGGATATGCACAAATCAATCGCCCTTCTGAATAAATATAGTCATTAAAAATCTCATTTTGATAGAAGGTGTCTTCTGGAACTGTTTAGACTCAGATAAAATGTTTCCTCTTCAACTTTATTATTAGCCATTACTGATACACTGTCAGTTACATCATTAATTGAAGATTTCATAATTCTATTGTGTAACTGTATAGTTCTATTGTAATTGTAGGTTCTATTGGAAATGAGAGAGATAAATCCTTAATATTCTAAATAACAGTTTGAATACATAATGGCTTTCGTCAGTAAAAATCACTTTGGCAAACATTATGCCATTTATCCTCCCAAATGTTTCGCTGAAGTCGGTAGGGATTACGGGCAAGCATCATTTCCCCCACCTGAAGTATTCAGGAGGCAGTCAGAGCAATGTCATTAATTTGGCTGAGGTCACCCCAGAGAGTCAAGACGCACATGAGAGTCATAGTTTAGGCCTCCAACATGAGGTGTCATTACTGGGGGCAAGGATTCCCAGAGGTGAGAGATCTCAGGGTGACTTTGGGAGAGGCTTCTCATCAAGTGACTTAGCTCCTTTTTCTGTCAAATGTTGATAACAGCTTCTAAACGACTTCCTATGTAGCCATAGCAGCTATGATGATAAATCCAAAAATAGGAATGGAGTCACTTTGAGAAATAAAAGTGACTGCACGAATTTAAGGACTTCAAACAACAGACACTCTCTGCATCAGGTAGGAACCAAAGCCACAGGCGGAAGCTGGTTACACCCACAGGTATGTGGGCCCTGGCCCCACCATGTAGGCAAGATGGCAGACACATAGCGTTTTCCTTCCTGCTGTCCTGTCCACTGCATTGGGCCATCAGAAAGGGGCGGAGATAAGGGCCACCTCCTTATCTCTCATTGCTCTCCACCTGGAGGGGAGCATGTGCCTCCACCCTCAGGCATGTCTCCCTCCTATATGTAGGAGGAGGAGCGGAAAGAAACTGAGGAACCCACACCCTTTCCTGAAAGAAAAGAATTCCCTTTCTTGATAAATGCAAGTGTCTGAAAACAATGACAAAACAAGTATCACATTTTGAGTGATAATGGTGCTTATACAGCACTTACTGTGGCCAGGAACCCATCTGAGCATGCTGTAAATGTCGGCTGTTTCATCCTTACTCAACCCTGTGAGGTAGGTGCTGTCACTGTCACACTCACTTGATAGGTCATGAGCCGAGGCCCAGAACCTGGGGTGGCTTTCCCTGGGCCCACCTGCCTGTCTGTCTCTTCCTCGGCTCACTCCCTCCCCACCCCCACCAGCTGCCATGTTCTCCAGTCAGAACTTCCTGGGAGGTTGGCCAAGATTCATCTGTGCCAGGGAGGAGGGGAAGTAACAGGCCCTGGGACCACAGATAACGCAAATGAGGGTCGGGGGCACCCTCTGGATTGACTGTCTAGTGCAGGCATCCTCCAGTGACCCTGCCCCTTGTTACAAGGTGGCCATGTAAGGGGGCGACAGGGAACATGAAGGAAGCGGGGAGAGAGGCCCCTCTCTCCTCAAAGTAGGAGGCTCAGTTCCCAAGAAACAGCACTCCATTCTCACAGGAATCTGACGTCCCCCACGGGCTGGGTGGGGGCCTTCCACAGGAAGGAGAGGTTCCTCTTCGGGGACTTGTCAGAGTGGGTGACTGAGTCAGCCTCTTCAGAACAAGTCATCAGTTTGGAACGAGGAGGAATGAAGACAAAAGTGCCAGCTATTTGATGATCAGACACTCTCCGGGCCTGCAGCAGAAATCCCATGAAGTCCCGGCTGCTTCTCACAATCACTGCAACAGAAAACACCCATGCAAGGTGAACACGCTTGATTTAGGTCCACTGAGTGATTTTATACGGGTATTTTCAAACTAAAAGCTTCAGACCAGCCCCTAGAAAGTCAACAATTCATTAGGGGGAAGAGATAGTGAAGTCCTATTTCACACCAAAATGAATTCCATTTGGATCAAAGGTGTGTAAAAAGGAAATAACAAAAGAACTAGAGACAATTTTTTTCCTTTTTTCAAATGTTGGAGTTAGGAATGCCTCTCTAAGCAACATTTAGTTGCCATAAAGGAAAAGATAAATAAAGCTTGCTATATTTAAAAAATCTGAATATAGATGAAATCAAAAGTCAGATGATAAAGGAGTATTTTTCAAAGAAAAAAATTATAAGACAAAACAGACAAATATACATAGTTATGGTGAATCAGTAAAAAATGATCCCCTCCAAAATGATAGAAGGACACAGAAAATAAAACAAGCACAATCATAATTTTGAAAGCAATTATAAATGAGATACTATTTTATACCCATCATATTAGCAAATGTTAAAATGAGTAAGTATAACCAGTGTTGATAGGACTATGGAAAAACAAAGCACTGATTTGCCAGTGCTGGAACTATAAACCATGCAAACTTTTGGGGGATACCCTGACATCTTCTATATTTAAAGTGCAGTTACCTCCAATATGTGCTACAACATCAACGAACCCTGAAAAAATAGTGAGTGAAATAAGGTAAAAAAAAGAAGGCCAAATATTGTATGATTCCACTTATATGAGGTACCTAGAGTTGGCAAGTTGATAAGGACAGAAAGAAGATGAGAGGTTAGCAGGGGTTGGGGGGAAGGAGCAGTGGTAAGTTATTTAATGGGTACAGAGTTTCTTTTTGAGATGATAAAAAAGTTCTAGAAATGGACAGAGGTGATGGTTGCACAACATTGCGAATGTCCTTAATGCCACTGAGCTGTGCACCTAACATTGGTTAAAATGGTAAATTTCATGTTAGGTATACTTTACAATGAAAGAAACTACTTCTCCCCCAAATGCAGTCACTCTTTACAGAAATTGCACGTCTAGGACATTTCCCTACTGACATACCTGCATAAGCAACTATGGGAAACACTGACACTCCCTAACAAACAGCCTTGCTCCAGTGGTTCCCTGCTCACAGAGCCCAGGGTTACATTCATGTGGCCAGAGGAAACCCCTAGTCTCTAGGGAAGTTAGGTCTCTCCCTCTCCCCAGGGGATACATTGTGATTAGACTAAAACTAGTGTTGGTGATTCTGTGTCCCTGCACCAGTGATCAATTCTGGCCGATGAGGGCAAAAAGGGATGAAAACTCAATTCATTGATGATAACAGAGCAGGAAAATGGAAAAATCCTGGGATCAACATGATGTCATTGGATAGCCTCACCAAATCCAGATGCTCTATCTCCAGACTTAGGAGGGAAAATTGACTGTCTTTATTAGTTAAGTTTCTATTAATTAGCTTTTCTGATGCTTGCAACTAAAAGAATCCGGACTTATACAATGACCAAAGGCATATGTATAAGGATGCTCAACATAATCGTTTATAATGCCAAAAATTAGAAAAAGTAAATATCCATCAATAAGAAACTATTATACAATTCACCCTTGAACGATGTAGGCATGAACTGCCACTTGGATTTTTTCAACTAGGCATGGATGGGAAATAGAGTATTCGTGGGATGTGAAATCACATATAAACCGGATTTGGCAGGGCCAACCAGGACTTGAGTATGTGTGACTTTACATGTAAGAGAGTGGTCTTGGAACCAATCCCCCCTCTCCCCTCAGTATACTAGGGGACCATTGAACCAATCACATGACCTCTAGACAATGGACTGTCATAAAATCACTGAAAATAAGCTGTGTATATAATAAAAGATGTTAACCTTATTGTTGGGCGAAAACTACAGATGTTGAACAGAATAATTTGTGTCTGTTTAAGGTTATATTCATTAGAGATCTCACATTCATACATGCTTATATGCATGAAAAATTTCTGGAAAGATGTATAAGAAATTTAACAAGGCTCACCTCTGGAGAATCAAATTGAATGTCCAGAACAAGGAAAGGGAAACTTTACTTTTTATTTGCTACCCTTTGATACTGTTTTAATATTTTTAAAGCATATAATATTTTTAAGCTTATTAAAAATTTCAGCCCCTCATTTTTAATTGAAGGAATAGCTAAATGAGGGTCATTCCTTTAAATTCTTGATAATGCAACATGGTATCTGTGATCATTTTATTTTCCATGCATTTGAACTTTCATTAATAAACATATGAACAACTATTTAGAATGATTAAAGCCCAGGCACTGTGTTAGGCACAGAGCCTACATCTACAAACAGGGTACCATAGTCCTTACCTTCAAGGACCTCAGACAGAGATCCCAGCAGGAAAACTCAAAACGTAATAAAGTAACAACTGATTCTCACTGAATCCATGAGGTGCTACGTCATGTCATTTATTACATATGCTATCATAGTTCCAGTCACAATCCAATTATGTTTCATTCAAAATACCTTCAGAATTTGGGTGTCACAGTTTTTTGGGTCATTTGTACAGATTTTCCTAACATAGCATTTCAATTTTTATCATTTTCATTCCCCTAGCCACAGGACACAGGGGTGCCTACACATTCACCCCTTCATGCTGGGGGTGGCTGGGCGCATATCGCGTGTATCCTGGGGTGGTTGGCGTCCCCAGAGAAGTAGCTTCCATCCTTGAGGAGCCTTGTGCATTTACCCACATAAATTCATAGTGTGCTGTCCACACAGCATTATTCTCTGTGCCAGGCTGGGGCAAAGTTTGGGAAGCTCTGTTAGAATAGACTTAATTCAGTGTGGGGAGGATGCTGCAGTTGGGCCCATTTACTACCCAGATACATTATTTTCACACTTATCAATAAAACAACACGATTGAATACAACAATATTTATGGAGAAAATTTCATTTTCATTTATCACCTCCAGTTCCCATTAATAGAATCAGCAAAGATCAAAAGGGGGCAGAGCAAAAGCTGCGGATGGGTTTGCACTCGCCTGTGGCTGCCTGCAGTTTTCTGCCTGCACTAAGCCCTCATCCAAAGCGCCTGTAGCTGCCTTCCCTGCTGCCTCTCCTGTCCCTCAAGGCCACCTTGGGAGCCAGGTCAAAGGTGAGCTGGCGGACTCTGAGGTGTGTGTGCAGGCAAGCGAGGTGGAAACATCCCTGGAGGGCAACCTGCAACCAATAACCACCCCCCTACCACCACCACCAGGGATGAATCAGAAGTGCACACGTCGCTCGCTTTTTCAGAGGGTCCCCTCTGGAGTTGAGCCCTAGTTGCCCACAGCAGTGACCTTTGAGGTCACACTCCCTTTCTCAGTGTCTCCCCTCTTCCTCACCTGTGTTTCTGGGATCATCTCTCATGTAAACTACCTGCACTCAAGTTCTTTCTCTGCTTTTATAGGCACCTCAACTAAAACAGTAGGAAATGCCCTTTTTATCCCCCCAAATAATTTTGGTTTAATTTTTAAATTTTTATTGTGTATATTTAAGGTGTACAACATGCTGTGTTGATATACTTATGTATAGTGAAACAGTTACTATAGTCAATCGATTAACCTATCCATCATCTCACTGAAGTGTCTGTTAACAGGTGCATTTTAGTTTTAAATAATGAGAAAGAAGTATATTTCATACAAACATGATACATGAAGGTTGATCAGGGTAATTACATTTATATTTGTGATAAGATGTATTTGTGTCTCATGACATATATATTTGTGTGTTATGACCAGGACAATAATTTCCATAATAATGTCATTTGTACCCTCTTCTCTCATACAGATACACTATCAATGTGGCTTTCACGACACAAATATTTCACTCTTATTTTTGGCCAAATAATGGCTCCTTAAGATTGAGCCAAACTTTAGTCCAGGAAGCTCCTGCCCGGGACAAACAGGACTTGGAAGATTCCACTGGGGCTCTGGAGCTCCTTAGAGTCGTGAAGCCTCACCCGCACCTACCTGGAATCCTGTCCCCTGGTGCGTAGGAGGACCTGCTGGTGTGGATGGTGACGTGGGGGGTCCCGGGGCGCTGCGGCTGGGCTTGGATGTGTTTGGGCTGCATGTCCTCGCAGGACCCTGCACTGGCACCGTGGGAAAAGGCAGAGCAGCAGGAAGCCAGGCAGAGGGTGGTGCAGGCCCAGCCCGCAAGGGCAGCCTGGACCCTCATCCTGCCCCTCCCTGTATCGGGACAAACAACAGCTTCACTCCGTCCGCTATTTAAGAAAATGAGAAGAGGTCTGTTTAGGGTGTGACTGACCTGCATCCACACTGCCTTTGCACCTCAGATTCTTTTGGTGCTGCCTCCCCAGACTGAAAATGCTCAAGGTCAAGATCAAAAAGACATGCTAGGCTATAGGAAGTGTTTCCTTTATGAACACTTTATTTTAACTTCTGTCTGTGATGTTCTCATAATATAGGAGCAGACTGCCTTTTTTTTTTTTTTAGAAAAATAAGAGAGACTTTAATTATGAAGTCAAAGAAGTAAGAGCAGAAAATGTTTGTATCCTAATGTGAACTGCTTGCAAGCCCTGCAGTACTCATGGGCAGTGTGAGCTGTAACCCATACTGCTGGGGTAGACACCTGCTATCCCAACATGGTCAGGCAGCAGAGCATATGGTGGCTTGGATTAGCATCTTAGTGCCACAACTGAAAGCTACTGAGTTAAGTGCTATGAAACTTCTGTCAACTACCAATTATTTAGAGGTGATTGTTAAGTTTGCAACGCTTTGATATCTCTGTCTTTGATTTTGGTGTTTTCAGTTATTTCACTACTTTTGGTGGTGAAGAAAATGAACAGAGAAAGTTACACCCAAGTTGATTCATTACGTACCTTCTTAAATACACTAGGAAAAAACTTGGCTCAGGAATAGAATACAATGATTGGATAAAATACTATTTATAGAGTCAATTTATTTTTGTTTATTACTTCTAATGCTTGTCAACAGGAAGAATTAAAAGTTGACAATGTAAAAGGAGTTGACAGGTAAAAATAAAGGGAGAGATAGCAAATAAGCCAGAGGAAAAGCTCTTTGAATAAATACTGAGGATGATCACAGGCATTTTTAGGTAGTTCTGTTTTTATTTTTTTTATAGTCCTGTGCACAGGCATTTTAAAAGTTTGGCTAATATTTTGAGCTCAGGAGCAATGCAAGGCAATGACGTCTCTCCCTTCTAAGAAGTTGGTTTTCAAAGGTAAAAATAAAATCCTAAAAATGTAGTGAGACATGCTTTAAAAACAGTAAACTAAGAAAATAATCCATACAACTAAACAAGCAAGCGTCACGCACTCCCACAAACCGTCACCACTGCCTTTTATGTTCGTGAGGTAAAAGGTGACAGGAATGCGACCTAGAACTCAAACCTCTTAGACCTGTCTTTAGAGTCCTTCAGACAATGCCTTTCTTTTCTAAGTTTCTTTTCCATGAGGCACTAAAAGCCAAAACCTCTACACCACGGGGACCTTCCCACAGCTTCCTGACGCATTAAGAGGTACGAAGAGGATCTGTGGAGACACATTCAGCCAAGGGGGCCAGGGTCCTTTCCATCTCCTTTCATGAGGGCCACAGAGAAAATGCCCCTCCAGCCCTGGCTGATGGCAGAAGGTGGTCTCCTTTCCACAGGCCGGTCAGACGCGGTGCCCGTGGAGGAGGACCATGGCCACGGCCACAGCCACATCCCACCCCTCCCCACCTTAGAATCCACTGAGTCTTCTTCCCACCAGCACCTCGTCTACCTGAACCCTGAAAAACATCTACTTACCTGGGAACACACTTCCTGGCAGGCTTGAAGGGAGGTTTTCCCCTCTCTGAGTTGTTGTGAAGACACATCCCTTCAACAAAAGCCTTTTCTTCTCCTTTTTGTGTTTCCACTAATGGAGAGGATAACAGCTGTTACCACTAATCCCCGGCATCTCCAGGAACCGTCTCTGTGTCTAAATCCAGCCTAAATTGCGTTAGTTTTCTCTAAAACCACACACACACACACACACACACACACACACACACACACACACACACACGCACACACAGGTTTCGGCCACATCACTGCTCAAGCCTGTGTGAAGGGGAAAGAACTGGAACTGGTTTTGCACGCAACCGGCATTGGCATCCTCTGCACAAGCTGGATGCTTCCATCTTGGTCTCCCTGCCAAGCGGAGAATGTTCGAATCAAACATATCTCAGCATTCTCTGCTTCTTGAGTTAGTGCGGGCTGAAATTATTCCTGGTGAAGAGGGATCGACACCAGGGCCTGAGAGCAGTGTGTATGGTACAAAAAAACAGCACGTGGTATACATGCTCCCTTCCATGACCACCGCACTAAAGCTGATTTTGCACGCCTATAAGAATCAGCTGAGAGACCTGATATAGCACAGAGCCTAGAGATCAGTGGTCCTCAAAGTCGGGTTCCCAGAGCACAACTTCAGCATCACCTGGAGGTTTGTGACAGTAATGATGAGGATAAAGAAAGAAGAGTGGACCCAGGAGATTATGTGGAGGTAGACTTAGGATTTGGCATCTGACCCTGACCGAATGTAGGATGCCCGAGAGAGAGAATCTTAGGATTGGTGATGCACGGTGATATGAAGGAGGGGGCTCCAGAGAGAGCAATGGTCTCACATTTAGGCCACATCTCTGCTCCAGAAAATTCTAATGAAATCAGTGATATCATAGGCAAAGCACTGGTTTAGAGACTAAGTTGCTTAGCCTTTCATTGCAAGTGCAAATGAGACTATCTACCTTATAAATATCAAAGGGTTTGAGCTTCCTTGGCCCATGATTCCAGTGTTTCCCCATGCACAGAATGCAATCAAACAAATGAAACCTGGTTTCTCTGAGCCTCTATCCCACTAGGATGGAGGAAATCTCAGTCTCCCTGAGTCGTGAGAAAATCTGGGAGGTGGAGAAAATCAGGGCAAGGCCTTCCATTGCTGCTGGGGGTGCCCGGGCTCAGCCTCCCCAGCTGCACCCTGTGCATTTCCTTCCTGAGGTTCTCCCCAGCCCCTCGCTGGGTCCTGCTGCAGATCCCTGCTGCTAGGGGGAAAGTGGGAACCACTTCTCCACTCCCCTCTGCTCTTTTTTTATTTTCTGAGACAGAGTCTCACTCTGTGGCCTGGGCAAGGGTGCCATGGCATCAGCCTAGCTCACAGTAACCTCTAACTCCTGGGCTCAGGCGACCCTCTTGTCTCAGCCTCCTCCCGAGTAGCTCGGACTACAGGCATGTGCCACCATGCCTGGCTAATTTTTTTCTATTTTTTAGTAGGGACAGAGTCTCGCTCTTGCTCAGGCTGGTCTCAAACTCCTGAGCTCAAACAATCCGCCCACCTCAGCCTCCCAGAGTGCTAGGATTACAGGCATGAGCCACTGTGCCTGGCCTCCTCTCTGCTCTTAACCTTAGCTTTAGGGAAAAAGGCCTCCCTGCTCTCCTTCCTCCACTCCCTCACCCTGTTACCCCCAGGTCGCCTGGCATGATCTATCAGCCACAGGTAGAGAGGTAATCTACCAACAAACACCTTGCTTTGGCCCTGTAACACAAACTCCCGAGAAGCAGGGATTCTCAAAGGCCCAACCACCAGGTTAGAATAGGGGCGGGTGGTGCAAAGAGGCAGGGAGAGCACACCTAAACGGCTCAATAAATCAATAAATATTCCTGCCATTCACTCATGTAATATTTCCAGAAGGACGCCTTATCCTAGACATGACGCTCATTGCCTGCCACATGCAAAGCCTCCGCTGAGCCAACTGCATGCCCCGTGCCACTCTCCCCTGTGCCCTGCAGCCACCTGATCACAGTGGGAGGGCCCTGATCACAGTGGGCTCAGCCCTTCATAGGCAGGGCTGAGCCAGAAACTCTCCCTGGAATCTGCCCAAGAAAACACAGAAGGCTACTTTATACCAGTGTTGGCCAATAAAAATATAATACAAGCCACATATGTAATTTAAAATTTTCTGGCTGGGCACGGTGGCTCACACCTGTAATCCTAGCACTCTGAGAGGCCAAGGCGGGAGGATTACTTGAGCTCAGGGGTTCAAGACCAGCCTGAGTAAAAGAGTGAGACCCCCGTCTTTACTAAAAAAAAAAAAAAAAAAGAAAAGAAAAGAAAAATTAGCTGGTGGTGGTATGCGCCTATAGTCCAAGCTACTTGGGAGGCTAAGGCAGAAGGATCGCTTGAGCCCAGGAGTTTGAGGTTGCAGTGAACTACGATGATGCCACTGCACTCTACCCTGGGTGACAGAGCAAGACCCTGTCTCAAAAGAAATTTTCTACTAGCTTATTTTTTAAAAGTAAAAAGGAACAAATGATGTTTATTTCAATAATAAGTTTATTTAACTCAATATACTGAAAACTTCATTTCATGTGCAAGCAGCATAAAAACTTATTAGTGAGATATTTTGCATTCTTTCTTTCATAGTAAGTCTTTGATATCCAGTGTGTATGTTACACACACAGCACATCTCGATTCTGACTAGCCACGTCTCAGGTGCTCAGAGCCACGCCTGGTGAGCTGCTACCGTAGCGGGCAGCACAGGTCCACACCAAGGAAGACGGTTGTCATGATGTGGGGTCAGGCCTCACAGCTGTATTGTACCATGTGCAAGATATGTAAGATGAGGCCGTGTGGCCGAGAGGATGAGATAGAAATGAAACACAATTGCATATTTATACCACACTTATGTGATACCTCCCATATACTGTTTTAGTCAACTAGTTGGCAAATCGCCTCACTGATATTCATGACACTCTGAGGTCTGCACTATTATAATCCCATTTTATAGGTGAGGAAACTGAGTCACAGCATTTCTAGAACTTACCAAAGTTCACAGGTCTTTCAAGTTTATTACTTATTGTCTCACTGCAACTTCACCAGCACTTTGAGACACAGATACAAGAACTGTGCTTCTCATTTTGTAGATGAGGTCATCTGTGACATATGGTTTCTCACCACAGCTTTCCACCGAATAGCTTTGTGACCTCATCTACAAAATGAGAAGCACAGTTCTTGTATCTGTGTCCCAAAGTG